CTATCCTTTGTTTCAAATGGGTCTCCTTGTGAGCAAAACTGCTTTTTATTTTATCCATGCAAAGTGAGTTAATGGCACGTCTTCTTGACAGATATATTGAAAGGAGACTTCGAAAACTAAGATAAATACTAAGCCCGCTAATCAATTATACTTCGAAATGTACTGCTGCGACAGCTATTGGGATAAATTTAGCTGGAATTACTAATGTTTGTAATTTCTAAACCGAAAGAGCTGTGAAACTCTCTGAAGTGCTTTGTTATGGTCAACTGTCTGTTGAAATGGCCTGATTGTTAGGATTCTTGACAAGTTTCGTCTTGGCAATTTGTCAAGAGGTCAAGGAATTTGGAAGTGATAAGCGGATTTCAACTATTTCCATCACATTCGATCCCCCCGCCATTTTTTCCTTTTACTTACATGCAGTTTTCAAGTCTTTTTTTCGCAAATTTTTGTTTTTGATGTTTTGTATAATGTAATGATGATGATGTTGCCGAAACATTCGCCGCAAATTTCATCTAGTTGTGGTTAAGTATTAGATTGAACCTAGAGGTAAAATTCAAAAAAATTATTTTTAACTGTTTTTTTCTGTAGCCACTGGAGTCGGCGAACCTCACATGATTACTTTGGATGGAGTTGAATACACCTTTAATGGTTATGGCGACTATCAAATTCTCCAGGTAGCACCTTCTGGGTTCAAGCTACAGGGAAGAATGCAGCCTTTAATCAATCGCTACGGCAGAAAGACTCTTGGTACAGTTTATAAGGCGTTTGCGATGAAGGAAAATGGCTCGGATATTGTTCAGGTAAACACTGACCAAACAGAAGCTAACCTTCGACTTTTCTATAGAAAAAAAGGGGGCTGTCAATTATTCAGAAAACACTTGTGACCGCGGTTTAAGCTTTCGCTGTGCGCAGTTTAAAAAGATTAAAAAAGAGAGAAGAATGTTCATTAACCAATGATTATAAAATGCAGCAGTTTATTTTTCGCCTTAACAGTTTTGCTCTCAGTTGTTTTTGAACAGAGAGGAAAACGCGTGGCGGTTATTTTCTGAAGAAAATGTTTTGCCCTTAAAGGAAAAAGAGTAGTCGAAGTGCTGTGTTGGTCCTAAAGACCCCATCGTCTGCACTCTAGCTAAGCAGACTCTAAATAGAAATATCTATCGGCAACTTGAACTGAATTCTCTCTGATCAGGTTCACATCAACGGCCGCAATGAAGTTGACGTTCTGGTGAATGGAGCTTTGATGGAATTTGATGAGCGACTGCTAATGGATTTTAATGGCGTCACAGTTTTAAAATACAACAACTCCTATAAATATTCCACCATATTCAATTCTGGGATATCAGTTACAATCGAGAAGGCCGATGAACTTTTACAAATGATGCTACTGGTGCCACAGATGTATAAAGGTATGCCCCATCCTAAACATTCGTCTAAAGTGACATCCTGGAATTTATGATCACAACAGGTCGAGGCTGTTTCTCTTTGTTATAACAAATAATGATGAAATTAAATTCAGCGTTATCTGAATGATGCTGGCTTTTCTTGATAAGCTGGAGAGCCTTCTTTATGAGAAGTATCTTTAGTAAAGCAATCAAGCGGCAACTGACAGGTAACGCCGGCAAACTGCAGCAAATTGGAAGGAAGAACTACTGTTTGATTATTCAACGCCAATTAAAAGGCAACCCTCAGTTTTAAATAACAAGTACGATGCGACAGTTTTTAATTCTTTGAAATTAACTCATGTGTTAATATGTCTATTTATTTCGCTTTTCTCTCCTTACTATGTCTGTTAAGGAAACACAAGTGGCCTTCTGGGATTCTGGGACGGGGACCAAGTAAAA